AGAGAGTGTTCATACTTTTAAATACTAACTATCATCTCCATCTTCAAGGAATTCAATGAGATCTTCCGTAACACGAAGTTCTGACTCTAAAACACAATGTAATATTATAAAAAAATCGGACTACACTTACATTTAAACATGTATTAGACATATTAGATATTATTAACCATCTTCTACATCCTGTTGTGTCATCCACTGTTTTACATTACTTGTACATGCTCTGAAAGAAGATTAGATTTTCATAATGTCACATGTTTCATTTATGTGTAATTATATAATAGTAATAAATTATACATACTCCGAGTCATTGTCAAATCTGGATTTGAGACCCACCATGGTGTTTGGTGTTAATGAAAATACTTTCTCCTCACTTGGAGTCAAAGTCACTGCGCACTGACCACCACCAGTTTTTGTTTGTTCGCTTTTGAGCAACGAGCATTTTTTGCGAATACTTTTTTTTATTGTGTCATATTTGAAACGAATCGTTTTTATGGAGCGAGGAAAATTTCCTGATGCAGCATTAAATTCGTTGGAAATTTTCTCCCAAGCTTCATTTTTGTCTTTCCATGTTGTTGCATCGGTTTTTTTATTTTCGACAATATGTTTATATTTTAATGTAACGTCAATTAACAAATCAATTTCAGTTTTTGTAAAATTCGCTCCCCTTTTTTCTTTGTCCATTGAGCCGGATAAATGTTTTTTCCACTTTCTTGAAAAAGTTCACCAAAAATATATAATATTTATTTTCGTAAACCTCACTTAACCTCACTTACAAGAATATATTGGTATCAAATGACTGACCCGGAGAAGAACATGTCGGTGACAGAATATGGTAATTTATAGTTAAATTCTAGTATATTTTGTGCCAAAAGTTTGTAGTATGAAGAATAGCTATGCGTTAGATACGTAATCAGAGGTTTCAGTGAAGAAAACGAAGTTTTAGTTATCTACCGGATATCTTTATCTGGAAGATAGCTGTTGGGAGGTATGAAGAAATCGGGCAT